CTAAAGCTTGTAGACAGTCCGGTCTGCCGAGGATGTGAATCGGCGGATGAAACTTCTCTGCATATCCTGGGCGAGTGCCCGGGATTTGCACGTAGCAGAATGGCGCTCCTTGGGAGACCCTATTTGGAACCCAAGGAGCTGAGAGAAGTGTCAACAAGGAAGCTTTTGGACTTTGTAAAAAGGACAAATCTACTTGCTGAATAGGACTAGTAGTGGGACGCACAATAGGCCTAATTAGGCCGCAGTGCTATGGGAGTTTTAAAGGACCAACCACTAGATGAAGAAGGAGAAGGAAGGAAGGTCATGTCAAAAATGAAGGGGTATACAGGGGAACTCAAAATAGTTGTAGTACTTCATAAAAAAATTTTTCCTATCGGGCTTCGTTGTGGAGTTATTCGCCTTCAAAGAAAGAAGTTTGAAAACAAATTCCAATTATAACTTCTAAGACAACAATGAAATTTGGGCAATTAAAGTAACTCATGATAATGTTCATTTCGAAGTTTAAACTGATATTCAATATGCCTGGATTATACGGGAGCAGACAAAATGATCCATTTAAATTTATACATTTTTATAAAAATCTTGGTTTCTATAAAATTAGAAGAAAAAAAGAGAACTGAAAGTAAGATGTTCAATATGTGCACCTTGAACTTCAATGCATTTTATTGTTCAAGCACCTCTGCTGTACACAAAATAACATTTCTAATGATGTAGGCATATGTAACTATACGATTTAATAATTCTTCCCTACGATATAATAGGAGTTTCATAAACAAGACTTTTAAGATGACACCAAAGACAAAAATCGAGAGAATTAAGATCGGGAAACCGAGACAACCACGAAAAGGACTACCTCGACCGATCCATCGATAGGGAAATGTGGTATTTAACTGCCATGCTAAAATGGGGTGGTGCACCATCGGGCATAAGCCACATGTTATTTCAAATATTTAAAGGAACGTCTTCCAATAACGGATTAAGGTGTTCTTGTGGTAAATGTAGGTATTTATCCTCATTTAAAGCGTCATCAATGATATGTGGTCCCACTAAATAGTTTCCAATTAGGTATTCCCATCCATGTATTAATGATAAATTTTTGTTAGTGTTTTGTCTGAATGGGGCTTTTCGTCACTTCAAATATGCAAATTCTATTCTATTTGGAAAACGGTTAGTGTAAATCAGAACAGCTTCAGAAGCATTACATTGTGCAAGTTCGTATATTAGATGAATATCTGCAAATTCTTCATAGCTAAAATCCTCCATAGAGGAGAATCAACAAATGGTGTCAAAATGATTTATGACAAATATCTAAGTGCTAATTATACATACTTTGACAGTCATTTCAATTTCCAAGATTTTTGCAAAATTGTTAATATCGCATTTTTGATACAATACATGTATGTTGTTAATAAAATTCGTTTTTCTCAAAAACGATACAAGATATCGATTGATATATGGTATACTTTTTTTTAGCAAATTGAGAGAGGAATCGAATGAAAGAAAAATGCCAAATTTGGCAACGCTGTCAAAGATGTCTAAATTTAAATGGAAAATTTCGTCTGCTCCTGTATAATCCAGGCATATTGAATATCAGTTTAAACTTGACAATGGACATTATCATGAGTTACTTTAATTGTCCAAATTTCATTGTTGTCATGGTAACGACTTAGAAGTTATAATTGGAATTTGTTTTCAAACTTTTTATTTGAAGGCGAATAACTCCACAACGAAGCCCAATAGGAATTTTTTTTATGAAGCATTACAACTATTTTGAGCACCCCTGTATACCCCTTCATTTTTGACATGACCTTTCCGGTCACCCTGTATATTACGTATTTAGTAATTTATGCAGGCTGTCACCAAACGAATGTTATATATTTCAAGGGTATAATCTAGAACCCAAATGGTGTCGACAATCAAACTTGCTTAAACGAAAAATGTAGCAAAAAAATGTTACAGGGTGTTACAATTTCTTTTTTTTATTTCTTGTTTTCTCCTTAACTCAGAACCCAGATAACCAATTTGTGCAAAATTTGCTGTTCCTGACTTAAGGAGAAAACAAGAAATAAAAAAGAAACTTTGACACCCTGTAACTCTTTTGTGACATGTTTCTTTAAGCAAGTATGGCTAAATCGACACCATTTGGGTTCTAGGTTATACCCTTGAAGTATGTAACATTCCTTAGGTGACGCCCTGTATATGTGAGAGTTCGCAGTTTATTGTCATGTATTTTAATTTTAATTTTTATTTAATTGATTCTGGATCAACCTAAAAAAGACTCTTTTGCACAATTAAATTTCTTCTTACATAATCAATTGAACCAAAAAATAATGTTGGTAGGTCAATTATATTGTCCAATATTTCAAAAATTGCCGCAATAAAAATAAATGTAGGGGGCTTAGGGCTAACAGGTAAGTTATAACTTCCACGTAGGTATGTATGTGATTTTTTTATTTACTATGTTGCTGATGTTATTGGTTTGCAATTTTACACATCGGTACACCCTGTATTACCTGATAATCAACGAATTACAAAAAGATTATAAAAAGTATTATTAGTCATATCTATGATATGAACAAATTTTGAGTGTGTTTATATTGCGTAGTTTAATAAATAAGACAAAACAAAACGTTGAAATAGATACAATCTAGCCTACGAGCTGGGCAATCTTCGCATTGTAAAAGACTACGATTCTTATCGCTTAATAATATTTGATTGATGATATGATTTGTCTTTTTATTAGTAAATTTCTACTCTTAATTTATCGCAGTAGTAAAGTTTATCTGTGTAGATATGATTAACATACGAGTATAACTACAGACCTACAGAAATATAATTCCAGACTCAAAAACCAATTCTTATCACATTTATTTTAACAGTAACAGTTATTAAAACCACATCCCGCAATTACTGTCTAATTATAATTGAAGTGAAAGTAATAAACTGAATAAATTGGATTTAGACCAGGTTTGGTCTTCATTCTGCACTGAAACATTATATGAATACCAGGAAGAGATAAATACCTAGGTATAAGTGGTATAACCTGAAAACTTACCTATTTATGTCCCAAACACGCTGTAATTTTTTTGATTTGAAATATTAATTTTTTCACCTTATTTTTACTTAATATCAAAAAAGCACCCTAATTTTCAATCGAAAATTCTCACGTCAAAATATCTGCTTTTTTAAAAACGTCGGTGGGCTTTTTCTTCGTTGAAATCTCTACTTTCTGATGGTGTAAAAAAATATACACATTACTATGGTAAGTTTTCTCAGGAAATGCAAAGAAACGAACTAGAATCCGAAATTTTTTTTCTAATCATTATGTACAATTTTGAGCTATTTATTAAAATTTACACTTTAATTACTCGAAAAACGTAAGATTCCATGTTACATTGATAAACAAAAAAATTACAAGTCGAAATATACTATTATAATTAACAACCAAATAAGTTAATAAAGTTAATATTTAATAAGACATCTACAATATTTTGAGAAAGTTGTAGAATCTTCTTTCGTTTCTTTGCATTTCCTGAGAAAACTTACCATAGTAATGTATATTTTTTTTTACACCATCAGAAAGTAGAGATTTCAACGAAGAAAAAGCCCACCGACGTTTTTAAAAAAGCAGATATTTTGACGTGAGAATTTTCGATTGAAAATTAGGGTGCTTTTTCGATATTAAGTAAACATAAGGTGAAAAAATAAATATTTCAAATCAA